CACACACACACACCGACACACGGCCACAACACCGAGTCAGCAGAATCTCTCAGAGGCACCGAGCGGACCTGGAGTCACCACGGAGCTCAGAACCAGCGACTGAGAAACATGAAGCATGAAATAAATTCTGCTTTAGCCCTAAAACGCCTCATTTTGTTTGTTAAGCATCTTTTAGGTGGATCGAGTTTGTTTGAGGACATTTCTTGTCTCATTTTTGCCATTTTGTGTCTCGTTTTGGGTTTTTGGCATCTTTCTGTGGTCATTTATGAAAATAAGATATTTTCAAAATAGCTTAAAAATAATTCAAAAAATAAATATATAAATAAAACCTACAAAAAATGAGACGAATTCATAACTAAAATTAAATAAAAATATAATCTAGTAAAAAAATAAAGAAGAATTGCTCTGGATGCGTTTGTAATAATTTGTTTTTTACTCGTTTTAATTTAAATTATTTTGTCTTTTTAAATATTTTAAGTATGCACTTTGTTAAGAGAAGAGCAACATTAATATGTTTATCATCATCATTATTATTAAAATTATTAATAATACAATTATTTAAAAAACAACAATAAATAAATAAATGTTGGTAAAAATATACATAAAAATAACAACAAAAAATTAATGGAATATAAGTATAGAAAAAATATAAAAACACCTCAATATCTAAATACATTAATAGATTTTTTAAAAATTGATTTTAAAAAAAATAAATGCATGAATAAAGAAATAATTAGAATGAGTAATGACAATAAATAAAAATGTAAATGAATAAGAAGTTGAAAAATATGAGAATAAATAAATAAATAAATGCTGAAGACAAATTAAAATGTAAAACTCGTTAAAAACACAAACAAACAGAAGAGAGGAAAACTAAAGAAGGAGAAATAGATTAAATTAAACTCAATTACGCCGCATAAACAAACCAAAAATGTAATTACATCAAACTAAGTGACTGGATTTAAACACTGGAGGCTTTGAGGGAGACACGGATCAACAGAACCAGAACCGATGAGTCCGTTTTATGAACATGTTCAGTCTTCCTGCATTAAACTCATCCGTCCTGCAGAGGAAACAGTTTCTGACATCTCAGCGCACTCGGAGGACGACAGCTTCCTCTCTGGACAAACACACTTGAGCTTCCTCTGGACAGTGATTCACGTCTTACGTTTGTCAGGAAGCGACGGTGAGTCAGAGGTTCTGCTGCTGCAGCACCAACAGCCACAGAAACCTCCAACCAGCTGCTAACCAACTGAGTGACGAGTTTAAACTGAACCCGTTCAAACGTGTTTACCAAGTCAAGTTTTACGCTAAATGAAAAACAGCTGCTCAGTATTTCCAACCAGAGATCAGCTGCTGCTAAATGTTTACACCCGCTGACTGCCAGGTGCTACGGTTAGCTAACTGAAGCAACTGATGCTAATGTTAGAGTAATAATAAAGGAGGTGCTGTTGTAGCAACGCACCACACACAAAGCTCACACAGGCTAATGTTAGCATATTTAAGCTAACTGCAGAAAACTTGTGTTATTCAGGCTAACAGCAGCTAATGTCACGTTGATTTGGCTAACTTAATGGCTAACATTATCCTATTTAGATTAATGTCCAGTGGTTTAGACTAAGATAGAGGCTAACGTTATCTTGATTAGGCTAACATGAACTTTTCTAGGTTAATGTTCACTTCTTTAGGCTAACATAGCAGCTATTATTTTATGTAGGCCAACATAGCGGCTAACATTAGCTTATTTAAAGTAACATGCACCCGTTGAGACAAACATGGCAGCTAACTTTATGTTATTTGGGCTAATATTAGCCTGTTTGCGCTAACACAGCAGCTAAATCATTTTGTTCATGCAAACGTTTAGCCTTACATTATTTTGTTTAGAGTAATGTTCATTCATTTTGGCCACCAAAGTAGCATACATTACCCTGTTGAGACTAACATTCACCTGTTTAGACTAGCATAGCAGCTAACATTAGGTTGTTTTTGCAGATTTTCCCACTGTGGGATTAATAAAAGCTTATCTTATCTGTAGGCTAACAATAGCTGGTATATGCTAACGTAGCAGCTATTTATCTTGTTTAAACTAACAAT